GTAGACAAGTACCATAGAAGAGTTGATATGGTAAGATGAAGTCGGGAAAACTTGGCATGGGATAAACAAAGAGGATGATCAGGGACATGAATCTAAAACAAAATCTTTACTTATGACTTGTAAAGTCTGCAAAATTTCTTATACTGTATATCTCAGCTCTGATTTAAATTTATCAATAGAAGCAAAATAAAAAATCAAAGTTCCTAAGCATACACTATTATGTATTCAATAATTTAAGAATTAAATATATGTCTTAATTCCTTCCACATAATGTGTTGTAATAATGCTTATGGCAAGAAAAGATTACCAAATTAACCAAAATGATTTTTCTGAATTCAATTGCCTCATGGTACACAGACAACATAAGGTTTTACAGCAACTTTCAGAGTATTCACAACTGAACTAGTTCAAAGTGAGTTCAATAATGACTTGAAAAACTTTTTTCTTTCACTTTTGAAGAAAGAACTAATTGAAAAACCAATGAAAAGTATGATACTGTGCATTTTCATATTTCTGAACAAAAACCTGCCTCAACAAAATTAGTAGTTCATTTGTATGAAATACATTAAAAGCTTGGAGCACAGTCATTGAATTTGATTGTCAATACAGCTATTATTAGAATTTTACATTTTCAGAGTTAAGTTGAATTTGAAACAGGAACATATTTCTGAAATAGTGAAAGCCTTTCCTTGTTATTTTAAAATTCATGCTATCAACAAAACATGTTACTTAAAATTTTTTCAATGTTTGTTTGTTTGTAGCTAAGCACAAAGCTACACAATGGGCTATTCATGCTGTGCCCACTACGGGTATCAAAACCGGTTTCTAGCATTGTAAGTCTGCAGACTTACTTCTGTAACACTGAGAGGCTTCCAAATGTCCTTTATGCATTGCAGAGCATGTTTTACTTCATAATTCTCCATTCTCCCTCCTTCCATATGACTTATTTCACAAGAGTCAAAAGATCTTACACAAACTCTGCTTTCCTACCATAATTTAGATTTTATTAGAAGTTACTGTTGTAATGAAAATTTAGTTATGGGGAGGCAGGATGGAGTTCAAGGTAAATAGGTATTTGAAATTCATTATAATTCTAAAA